AAAAATAGTGATGGCAAGATATGGGAGGAGTTGGAGGGGAGGAAGTGGGCACTGATTTGACCAAAACACCTTATATGAATGTATGAAATTCTCAATAAATTATTTATTTAAAAAAAAATAAAATATAAGCCAGGTATGGTGGCACATGTCTTTAATCCCAGCATTTGGGAGGCAGAGGCAGGCGGTGCCTGGAACAGGACAACACATCATCACAATTTTGGAAACAGAATCTGACAACATTTAAAACTTACACAATTTTTCAGTATTAAATATAGCATAATTTCATTTTTACTGCAAAAATCATTAGTAAAGAGTATGAGCTTTATAACACTGATGTTACTAATATTTTATTACAATGCCTACTTATTAAGGAAGCAATAAATAGATTTGTACCATGTATTTTTGTCAATGTGACAGTGATGGAAGCATAGACCCACCTCTGCATGCTGCCATAATGAAGTAAAGATGGAAAAGTGCCTGTTTCATCACCGATGCTAAAAGTGCAATTTTGGAGAATGTGAATAAATAAAATGTGCCACTGTTGTAACTTAGGAAAGATGAAGCAGTTTCATAGAAAGTTGAGGTGAATGTGATGAAAGACCCCCTGGGGGCCTTCCTAGGAGAAGTAGAGGCCCACCGTCACAGGCAGCCATGATGAGGCTCTGAGGGGGATAGGATTAAAAGAGACAGCCACAGAGTGTAGAATGCTGAGAGTTCTGAATAGACATACCCTGCAGATCCCAGTACATTAGGGGAGTGATGCCATCACAGTACAAGCAGTGTGATGGGAGAGAGAGCCTCCAGTCCCATGAGACAAAGGGACTGACTGACATATTTCCAAGGAGGTGGGTAAGTTCCATACCATGTGACAATAACCCATGGGCTGGAAATCACAGGACATTATTTATTTATTTATTCATTTATTTTATATTTTTAATTTTGATATTTTTGAGACAGGGTCTCCCTGTAGCCCCAGCTGGTCTGGCACTTGCTGTGTTGACCAGACTGGCCTCAATCTCATAGAGATCCATCTACCTCTGCCTCCCGAGTTCTATGATTAGAGGCATGCACTACTACTGTGCCTGTCTTTAACAGGCCATTCTAAAAGAAACACTATAACTCTAGGTTGTCTTGGAGCTACAAAAAGGAGGAAGACTACACAGCTACAGCAAGCTTCATCAATTCTCTCTCCTAGAAACAGCTTCAAGGGTGCATGGCCTGATTTGGGGGGAAAAGAGTGGAATCTGTAGAAATTCTTGCCTAATACCATACTCTTTGAATTTATATTAAAAGAAGACTTTATAGAACAGGAATTAAAGGAAGATAGGGTCCAAGGATTGATAGGTTGACCTCAGTTCCAAATACTCTGGGATGAACTGGGATATTGTAAGCATTAATTTTAATCTGAATAAAATCCTATGTGGTCTTTAAATTTTTTAATTTAACTAATAAGTTAATTTTTATTTTACATATGAGCATTTTGTCTTCATATATGTAGTAGTACACCTGTGTAAAATGCCTTCAGAGGCCAGAAGTGGGTCTTGGATCCCCCAGAACTGAAGTTATACACATTGTTAGCCGCCATGTGAGTGGTAAGTCCTCTGCAAGAGTAGCCAGTGCTCTAAACTCCTGAGCCACCTCTTGAGACCTGTTAGGTGCTATTTAAAATGTGTTTAGTATATAACCATATAGCTCAGATGAAACTAAAGAGTAAATAATACCAGTTATAAACTGTATAAATATCTATTTGTAGAGTTAATAATAAAAATATTAATATCTTTACAAGATTAGAAAATTCAGAAATTACCTAAGTAATATTGTGGGGTTGGCTTGTTCCCACTTATACAGAAAAAGGTTTTGTAATTTCAAATGATCTTTAATGTTTGGGTCATTTTGTGTGGTCTTTAGGCCAGCTGTGTTTTAGAATTTCTTAGTAGATACTATCACTGTCATGAGTCTTTGTAATCAGTGATGATACTCTGAAATTAATATGTACTTCTTGATTTCAAGGATACCAATAAACACTTCTATTTTTCTATGTCTGGCATTAAATATTTAGTCATATTAATAAATGTTTGTTTCCTTTTAGCCTCTCAGAGATACAAGGCTCATCTAAAAGTGGCTCTCCACCTGTGGTGCTCAGACCACCAGCAGCAGGTCCTGGGAGCCTGACAGGCACTGGGCTTCCTGGTGTCACCTGAGACTTCATGTGTCAAAATCTCTGATTTTGGGACTCAGGCCCCAGAGCTGTCACCTGCTCTCTAGCAGATTCTCAGATCAGATGAGAACTAAGAACCACTGAGCTGGAGACAACAAAGCCCCAAGCTCCCCACCTCCCTCTCCCATTACCTGAAATTCTAATGACTCAAGTCTCAGGTGACAGAAAGAAAATGGAGAGTTCTGGTCATTAAATCCATTCGCAATGATCCCCCTTCCCCAAAGAAACCCTGATGCAAACCTGCCCCTAAGGGATGAAATATCTTTTGAATATCTGTGACTATGACCAGGGATTGTCAGAACTTGCCAAAAGCCTGGAGAGCTACCTGAACATCAAGATATCCAGGGTGAGTTTTAAATCCTTGAATGAGGAAACAGGGATTTCATGGAAATTCTGAGAGCTTTTTATACTCTTCAAATTAAGTTTACAAAGGTAAGACTATGATTCTAGCCATGAAGAAAGCTTACCTTACTGAAAAGAAACAGAAAAAGTGTCTGTGTATTTAATTAATATAAGCATGTTAAAAAAATCAGGAGTATTCAAAGAAAAACTGTTTGGGTAATTATTAATGTTTTACATGTATGTATATTCAAAACCTACTTCCCACACTCCCTGCTCTGCAAAGGAGACACAAGGCCCTGATGGATTGCTTTCACTGTCCATGTGGCCACTCTCCAATGTCCCTGAACCCTTATATACAGAGATATGAAAGTTACATGAGAGAAGTGGTGTGAATTCCAAAGTACCTCACAGCTCAATTTTCCATTCGGTATTTACAAAATAAGTATTTTCCTGTAAATGCAGATTAAAATGCTTAACTGCAAAAAAACTGAACTTCCCATGTGCATGGACACTGACATTGTGAAGGACTCTAACATGCTATGCATCTTGCAAAAAATGAATCTTAAATTTTTACCCAGGTGACTCACTTCCCTGTCTGTATGTAAACGTGTACAAACATGGCAGATTAAAATATTACATGATCAAAAATTAAAATTACATGTAAACAATCATGCTGTTTATATTTTCAATGGGAAAATAGGACAGAAATAATATCTTGGTGATAGAGGCAGTGTTGTATATCTTTAGACTCTGTCACACAAACTTTCCACTATGTGGTTAGAGATTTTGATGGGAATCAACAGATGGGAGAAATTTACAGAAATGTAAAATATGTGATTTAGGTACAAAGAATAGGAGTCAAGAAATTTTCAAGTGTGCCAGCTAAAAAATTCAAGTATTCAGCTTGATGTATTTTCTCCTCTCCTCCTCTTCTCCTCTCCTCTCCTCTCTCTCTCTCTCTCTCTCTCTCTCTCTCTCCTCTAACTTGCATGCATGTTGAAATTACAGGCTTCTGTCACCATCCTTGGACCAAACACACATTTTTACCCTATTTCAAACAATGAACATGAGTAGGCCATAGTGTCACAGACATCAGGTTAATTCTCTGCAAAATGAAGGTGCGAGAAGGAAAAATTAGTTGTCCTGTCACCAGGGAAGAACAGCATGAGATGTATAAAATTTCCCATATCAGGTTTACGAGACAGGAGGAAGATCTGGCCATGATGCTGAGCATTCTACCAGACATCCTTTCTAAGTTGAAGAGTCACCTAGACACAGGAAACACAAGGGGGAAGAAAAACATCAAAATTCTGGTAGACAGCCTTGGGTACTTGCTGCTGACATCACAAATGACATAAGAGGGAGCATCAATCAATCCTAACCTCTGATCAACCTTCACACACCAGGGTGCATTTTGGAGAGAGCATGATGGACATGTCCATTCTACAAAGATCTAACTGTGGATCAGGAAATAAAAACTGACTTCTCTGTTATCAGGAAGGTAGATCCTTGGGACTCTCATCCACTTCTAAGGTTGCACACTGCGGGTGCAAACGCTGTCCTTCCAATGTTAGCACACTTCTCACGGTTCTTCTTTCTTTTCAACTGCTGCTGCTTATAGTCTGTTCAGTTATTGTTCCATGGCTGTAACTGAGCAAGTGATATAAAAAGGAGTTAAGTACAAGGAAAAACCAAAGAGAAATTCCTAAACACCAGATGACACTGAACACCAGAAGGTAAACACCCAACCTGAGTTAAGTGTGTAAGAAGCTGTTCGTGAGAGTGTACAAGCCCAGGTGTGTTCCTTGACAGCAGTGTTCTTGCTATGATTTTTATCTCAGATCCACTGACTATGATTGTAGCAGGAAAAGAGAAACACAACCCATTAAGCACCTAGGGCCAAAGTAAAGCAGCTTCTCACTGTGATGACCATGCTGCTGTCTGCTAGAAAGGACACTGATGTCAACGGTCCACAGAGAAATAATGTTCAAGTTCAAAAGATACGTTTTCTTTGCAGAATCATATATGAGCTGCTTAAACTCAGTGCACTAGAGAAATGTACTGAAGTCAGAGTTCAGAAACATTTCAACAATAGGCCAGCACTGTATGCCTAGCAATGACTTTACAGTAATGGGTTTTATCAGTGGAAGGAGAAGAATGCGTTATATGGAGTAAACCAATTTTTTCTGAGAAAAGCTTGTCCTTAGGCTCATTCTCCTGTAGAAACTGAGTTCCTAATAAAACTGTGAGCCCCACTTACGTCAGAACCTGAGCTTCACCCTTCAGACTCTCATATCAAGTGAAAATTGAAAATTACAGGCTTTCTACCATTAGCTGTTGAAATGAGAAATGCTGACTAAAGTCATAATATTTTGTATTATCTTTGCACTTCATGTCACATTTTTATTTTCAAGCACGTTCCACAAATTCTATTCCCAACATGATTGTGACAAACGTAACCACAGTGAGTGGCTTCCTCCTCCTGGGGTTCTCTGACAAGAGGGAACTGCAGATCCTACATGCTTGGCTCTTCTTGCTGATGTATCTGTTGGGCTTGGCAGGTAACTTCATCATCATCACCATCACAACGCTGGACCCACAGCTCCAATCTCCAATGTATTACTTCCTGAAGCACCTGTCCCTTCTCGACCTCTCCTCCCTGTCTGTCACTGTTCCCCAGTCTATCTACAATTCCCTGACAGGAAGTGGATACATTTCCTATTATCAGTGTGTGCTACAGGTTTTCTTCTTCTTATCTTCAGGCTGCAGTGAGGTGGCCATTCTCACAGTGATGTCCTACGACCGCTATGTGGCCATTTGCCTCCCATTGCACTATGAGGTCATCATGAGTCCCAGAACGTGCAGGTGGGTTGTGACAGCTGTGTGGATAAGTGGAGGCATCTCAGGGACCTTGTACACAGCAACCACATTCTCTATGAGATTCTGCAGGGCCAAAATAATCCATCAGTTCTTCTGTGATATCCCCCAGTTGCTCAAGCTCTCCTGCTCTAATGATTACCTTGGAGTAGTTGGACTGACGGCTTTCATATCTGTGATGACAACTACCTGCTTCACGGCCATTTGCTTCTCCTATGTCCAGATATTCTCCACAGTCCTCAGGATGCCCTCTGCAGAAGGTCGGTCTAAGGTCTTCTCCACCTGCCTGCCCCACCTCTGTGTGGTCTCATTTTTTGTCTCCACTGGTATATTTGCATATCTAAAGCCAACCTCAGACTCTCCAACTGCTTTAGACCTCGTGCTCTCTATCTTTTACACAATACTACCCCCAACACTCAACCCTGCTATCTACAGTCTGAGAAATGAGGTCATGAAAACAGCTCTAAGAAAGTTACTGTCAAGTGATAGTTTCCCTAGAGGCTAATTAGTTTTTTTCTTATTGTCCATAGTGGGCAACATTAAACAGAAGATATTTTTTAGTAAATGGAATGTCAATATATTTTGTTAGCGGTATGCAGTAATCTCTTTTCTGTATGATGACCATTGTCATTACAGAACTTCCTCATCTGAATTCTCTAACTCAGGCATAGAAATCACTCCAGGTTCTTTCGCATTAAGGGAAAATACAATTACAACCTAGTAATACAGGCCCAGTACTTCAAAATGCTCACAGTGCATACACAGAGACATATAAATTGGTACACGAAGATTATAGTACACTTGGAACATGTGCATGTGCAATCTCGCAACAATAATAAGTGGAGACACCATGTACTTATACTTCCAATAACCAAACAGTTGATGGTCACTTCAAACTTTTAATTTCAAACACCCATTTCAATTTTGGTGTCTGTCTATACAAGTTTTAATCTGTGTCAGGCTACATGGAAACCCCACCTCAATAAACAGAAAAGTAGTATTTTATCTTTTCCAATTTTTATTGATGTGTGATACTTCAAGCTACTGAACACAAACATAATAGGAAAAAAGTCCATATTTTTATTTAGTTTTACATTTTAATTTTGCCTTTGAGTAAATGCTTTGCAGTTGTAATTCCATGGTTCATAGCAATAAAAAAAATCTCAGTTCCTATTTATTTCAATTTTTACAGCCATTTTTCACTATAAATTTTATATCATTTATTATGAGTTCCTGTGGCAACAAATTTGTTTTATTGAGACATAGCTTTCAATAATTTTTATTATTTTGCTGCTTAACATATTAGATATTTGAATTTACCTGCACTGTTACATAAATTCTGCTTGATCTTTGGAGTTCTATACCAATAAGATACCTTAATATGATTTTTGAATTGTTATTCAACTAACTTATTATTTTAATAAGTGAAATGGATGAAAAATAATTTGAATCAGCGCTTTTCAATTTTGTAGTTTAGTCTATACTTAAATATTTTAATTAAATAATACATTACTGATTCCCACCAAATGTGATTAAAATGGCATTCTTCAGTATACAATGTTCTTTTATTGTTACTTACTTTAGGTGTGTATGTGAGTGTGTCTGTGTGTGTGTGTGTGTATGTGTGTGTGTGACATAGGGAGAAACAGAAAGAAACAGAAAGAGAACTGAGTCTATGTGACCATGCCTGTCCTTGCCTTTCTAACTTTTCTAACCTTTGTTCTTCTCTGGAGACTTGGTCTCCATCACTACATGAGCAGACAAGCTGACCCACAAGCCTCTGGATATTCTGTCTCCACCACCCACTTCCTGAGACTTCTGGGGTTACTGACTCTTCACCAATGCTTCTGGTTTCTAGGTGTGTGGTGTTGATTATGCACTGTGGCATTATAATTATGCCTGTATAGAAATAGCCTGACAATTGCCATCCATGTTAAGGCCAAGAGCAGACTGAGAACCTGCTCCTTCAGGATCCCCTTAGAACTGTGTTTTATTGTAACAATATATCTAGAGTGAAACAGGAAAGTTAAACTCAGACCCTTAACTTAGATAATTTTCCCTTAACTGATCCCTCTTCCTAGAACAAAACACACACACACACACACATGCACGCACGCACGCACGCACGCACACCAGAAATCAGATGTTATCAATTGAATCCCATGTATTGTTTGCAATACAAATGGGATGATCACATGTACATTATTTCCAAAGGATAATCTCTGCTTCCATTGATTTTGATGCTCACCACAAATACATATACACATGCACACACACATATATATACATATACACATATGCACACATATACATACACACACATACACACATACACACACGGAGGCACACATGGACACACACACACACACACACACACACAAACACACAACCACACACATACACATTACTCTAGGTCCAGAGCAAGAAAGGATTATGAGAAATTTAAGTACATTTAGGTTACAGAGGAACTCAAGACCTAGGAGGACCGTTCACCTTATAAAGAGGCTGAGATGAGACTGACTCTCTGGTTGTAAAGCTAACTATGTTCATTTGTCTAGAGTATTTCCATATTGTAAAGGTGGTCTGGTAATCATAATGAACTCAGGTTTTTAAAAGAACATCCAAGCACTTTTACCTACTGAGCTGTACCCACAGACCATAAAGTACTGCATTACTTTTTGTTACTCTTGTAGTGATATTTGGAGTGCCTTTACACATTTTATTCAGTATCATGTATGTGCTTGAAGATTAATACTCATGAGAGCAATCTGCACCTTCTCTTTCATGGCTGAAAAGTCTTTCATTAGGTCTCCCCATGTGATACAAAGAGACTCAGGCAAGATGTTTCCATGGTCAGGCAGGGAGTCTTGGATGCTAAAGATCTGAGCCACATAGGGTGTGTTTTCACTAGCCTCTCCTTGCTAGAACCAAATGTGAGACCCTGTCAGCCCACGTAGCAAGGAACAACAGTGAAGGTGAAGCAGAAGTTTAAGTCAAGATGACTGCTGAAGGTATTAAAACCAAATGTGGCCCAGAAAGGCACCTATTAAGAAAAAGCTGAAATCAAAGAGGAAAAGAGGAAGGTCACCCAAGTGAGGGAACCAGGCTGTGCACCCACATGTGCACAAGGAAGGTCTGTGCAGGTCGGAGAGGCAATGGCCCTTTGGACTCTGCTTTCTGGCATCTTAATCAGGGTCTTGTGGACGTGCATCTGGCTCCATATTAAATATGAGAAATATGAAGTGTGTTCTTAGATTTGAGAGTGGTGAAACACAAAGGCAGCTAACCCATAGTCTGCTCAGAAAGGACCATTAGGCAGGGCAAAAGACCAAGCAGTGCCTTCCTTTGCTTCAGTGAGTGAGTTCACACAGACTGTTGTATCCCTGTCATGGTTTATTAAATAGAACTTGCAGCTTCTAGGAAGAAATACCCTAAAACATACAACACACACACATACATGCAGCTAGGTACTCTTAATTTTGCAGCTGAAGGTCTTGAAGTAGAAAAAGATTAAGTGGCACAACTACTAAACACTAGTGAGATTTCACTGCTGGTGTTTGATCTAGGGGCCAAACATTGAGGTGTACTTTAGGTTGTACATTAGGTTGTACATTTGGTGTACATAGGATTGTAATTGGTTAAATTGGTGATGCATTTTTATGCTTGATTAGTATTGCTTTCTATTTCTGTATATGCATACATGGTGGTTTGAATTAGAATATCTCCCATAGGCTTTGAGTATGCAGAAACTTGTGGGCTTTGAGCTTATCAAATGTTGAACCTCTGAACCAAGCTCCTGTCCTCCTCCCACTTTTAATTCCAAGACTGTGATTTATATCTATAGAAGTCCAAGTAGGTGACTTACATTTTCTGTAGGGCACAGGTGAAGGTTCATTGAGGCTGTAGAAGAGTAATAGAAAAATGATGGGAAAGCTCTTGGTGCCTGGGAATGTGCAATGTCAAGGCCTGGGTGCCAGGGACCACACGTGGAGTCCAGACTAGACTCTGAAAATGGTGGAAACTTCACCTATCCCAACATAGGCCCCAAACACTGGCCAAGTCACTGCCATGCACAAACTGGGACCTCTCGGGGAGGAGCTGTGTGGAATGCAGAGAAGGCTGAAACTTTTGCCCAACATCATGAAATCCTCCATCCTCCACTCTGCTCTACCATTAGTCCACTACCAGAGGAATGTGGAACCTTGGCTCCCAGTTGGACACCATAGCTACAGGCTTACAGGAGGAGACCACAGTTCAGGCTAACAGGAGGGAACCACAGGGCCAATCTCTCAGAAAAGGACCACAGTCCCAGGTTCATGGGAGAGGTCATAATTTAAAGTATTCTGGTTCTTACTATTTTTCTGCCTCCATCACTCTATCCACATGCTCATACCAATGTTTTAAAAGGAACATTTTGGCTTCTGTGAAGCAAACAGAGGCAATAGTTACTTGCTGGCTTGACTTGTTCATAGAATGACTTCAATATTGGAGAAAACCACCTTTCACTCTTGCTCAAGGAGGCAGATGGATTGAGAGTTTTCAATTTCACAGTCACAGATCCAGTTGGCTTTTTATTTTTGCATCTTCCTCCACAGTCAGGCTGAGAGTCACCACCATCACCACCACCTTGCTCTGGCAAGCATCACCATGCCACCACCATCTTGACTCTCCAGTTATTTTCTTTCATATTTTCCAAGCCATGAGTTCAGAATTTTGAGATCAGTGTAAAACCACCTAGGTAAGGAAAATATTTGCCCTGTGTGATAAAGTGCCTCACATGGTTGAGCACATGCATTCAGTCCCTCAGGAGCAGGTATACCTCAGGCCCTGAGGTTGGCTGCCTGGGGCATGCCTCACTCCAACATCTTGATTCCTTTAAGCCTTCATCTTAGAGCATCTTAAATGTGCTGTTTATCTACTTCTCAAGATCATTTCTGCTTCTTTTGCCCTGGAATTATCAGCATCTAGTCCTGATTCATTTTGGAAGATAGGCCCCTCAATAATCTTTAAATTTCTTTGAGAAATTCACATGAATATTGTATCTGCTACATCCCTCAGTCACTCCTTTCAAACTCCTCTAGTGTCCCCTCTCAAATTTATGACCTTTTTTTCAATTATTATTGTAACATTAGTAATATTAATGATACACACAGATGGGAGAGAAAGAAAGAGAGAGAGAGAGAGAGAGAGAGAGAGAGAGAGAGATTACTGAGTCCATTTAGTGTTGCTCCCATTTGCTTGTGTTTAGGGCTGATCACTTGGGATTGGATAACCTATCAGGAAGTTTGTCCCTAGAGAATATCGATTCCCCCTCCCTCAACAATCATTAATTGCTGGTAACTTGGGGTGTGACCTTGTGAAATTTCTTTCATTCACATTGGCATATCAACTGGTGCTGTCATTATGCTGGTCTTGTTTAGGCAACCATATTGTGCAGCTTCCCTGTCATGTCTAGAAGACACTATCTCCCAGGAGGTGTCGTGGTCATCTGGCTCTTATGATCTT